GTGGTTCCCCTGTTGCCATCTCTGCCTCCTCCCTTGTTCTCACCTGTCAGAACACAGTAAATTAGATAGGGCTGAAAATGTTGCATGGAGGAAGCTGCCTATGTTCATCTCTCAGAGCATCTATAAATCTGTTGGTATCAGTCACACAGTGTTAAAGAATCTGACAAATAGGAAATCTGACATTGTATCATGTACTGAAATATTTTACTGTATCCATAAATATGTTCAATTATTATGACAATTAAAAATAAAAAATATTTTTAAAATATGAAATCTAGGGCTGGGGTTATAGCTTAGTGGAAGTGTGCTTGCCTAGCATGTGTGAGGCACTGGGTTCGATTATCAGCACCACATACTAATAAATAAAATAAAGGTCCATCAACAACTAAAAAATATTTTTAAACAATATGAAATCCAACCCCATTTGACAGGGGTATGGGGCCAAAAAGAGGCCCAAAATCACAAGGGCCATAGAAACAGTGTCTGCCAGCCACACTTCTCCCCTATTTTCATGTCCCTCACAAACTCTTCTCCAAAGTGAGTGGCAGAGAGAGGGGTCAGGTCCTTAAATTTTGGTATCACTTCTTATTTAGAAACGCATGTGTTTGGATTTGGAATAGCCCCTCAAAGGCCTTGTGTTAAACGACCAGCCCCTAGGCTGGTGTTCCTGGGAAGTGATGGAAACTTTAAGAGGTGAGACCTAGTAGAGGTCTCTAAGTCTTCAGTGGTGTGTCTTCATGAAAGGGATTATGGGACCCAGTCCCTTCCACTTTCTGGTTTTTGCTCCCTGGTCATAAAATGAAAGATTTTTCTCTGCAACACATATTTTTTTTTCCTTCTAGGGTCAAGGATCAAACCTAGGGACTTACATGTGGAAGGCAAGTGCTCTGCCAATGAGCTAAATTTCCAACCCTTTTGCTATAATGTGTTGCCTTACCATATGCCCCAAAGCAATAGGGCAATCAATCATGGACTGGAACCTCTAAAACCGTGAGCCAAAATAAAACTTTTCTATCTATAAACTGATTATATCACATATTGTTATAGTAACATAAGGCTGACTAACACACATGCTCACAGGATTTAACCAAGAATTTCACTAACTGGTAAAGGCAACTAGGAAAAAACATACATTTATCTATGTATTTTTTCCATATTTTTATTTGTGCATTATAATTATACATTGTGGTGAGATTCTCTGTCACATCTTCATATAATAATTTAATTTGGTCAATCTCATCCCCCAGTATTTCCCCTTTCCCTTCCCTCCTGCTGGGCCCTTTCCTCTACTCTATTGGTCTCCCTTTCATTTTCATGAGACATCCCCCTGCCCACTACTTTATTTTCTTTTTTCCTCTCTAGCTTTTAATATGAGAGAAAACATAGGATCCTTGACTTCTGAATTTGGCTTATTTCTCTCTTTTTTTAATTTTTATTTTTTAAGTTGTAGATGGACATAGTTTTAATTATTTATTTATTTATATGCAGTACTGAGAGTCAAACCCAGTGCCTCACACGTGAGAGGCAACCGCTCTACCACTGAGCCACAACCCCAGCCCTGGCTTATTTCTCTTAACACAGTATTCTCAAGTTCCAGCCACTTTCCTACAAATGACATAATTTCATTCTTCTTTATGACTGAATAAACTCCATTGTGTGTGTGTGTGTGTGTGTGTGTAAGATTTTCTTTATCCATTCATCCACTGACAGACACCTAAGCTAGTTTCACAGTTTGGCTATTGTGAATTGTGCTGCCATACACATGAGTAGGCATGCATCACTATAATATGATGACTTTAATTCTTTAGGATAAATATAAAGGAGTGGTATAGCTGGATCATATGATGGTTTCATGTCTACTCTTTTGAGGAACCTCCATACTGATTTGCACAGTGATTATACTAATTTGCCCGCCAATAGTGTAAAAGTGTTTCTTTTTCTCCATATCCTCTCCAGCATTTATTATTGTTTATATTCTTGATGACTGCCATTCTGACTGGTATGAGATAAAATCTTAAGTAGGGTTTTGATTTGTATTTTTTGGCTTAGAATTGCTTTGGCTATTCTGGGTCTTTAATTCTTCCAAATGAATTTTAGGACTGGTTTTTATAGTTCTGTGGTATTCAGCTGAGAATTCTGCTGAATCTATGTATCGCTTTTGGTAATACACCATTGTAACAATATTAATTCTGCCTCCTAATGAACATGGGAGGTTTTCCTATCTTCTAGTGTCTTCTTCAATTTCTTTCTTCACTGTTCTATAGTTTTCATAGTAGAGGTCTTTCACCTCCTTGGTTAGATTCCTAGGTATTTTATTTTTTGGAGGCTACTCTATTATATGGGATTGTTTTCCTGTTTTGCTTTTCATCGTTAGTGTATGGGAAAGCCACTGATTTTTGTATGTTGATTTTGAAACTTGTTACTTTGCTGAGTTTGTTAATTAGCTCTATAAGTCTTCTGGTGGGGCTTTCAGGAGTCAACACATGACCTGCAGTGAGACTAACCTGGTATGCAACTAGCCATGTACCAGATCTTGCCTAACTCCACAACTCCATACACCTTGGTTACTGCCTTCTATATATAGTCCTCTGACTCTACTCTCTACCTAGAATGTTTCTGACCTATTGTTTCTGACCACTCAAATCCCACCAATCCTTTGAAATCTGACTTTTCCAGAAAATTACAATCACTACTCCTGTTCCTGCTATCTGATCACATATGCTCCTCTATTTATCATTTTCTTCTATAGATTTTTGCATTTTACCTCTTCCTATTTCAAGCCTAAATATTTCATTTATATCTTCTCACCAACAGTACTTGAAACATCTTGTGGGTAGGAATGTAGTATACCATCCCCACAATATTACATACTTGTAGTAGGCTCGTAATAAATATTCACTAAGATGCAGTCTCCTTTTTTCCCTTAGGCCGAGGAGGCTGACTGTGGGAAGAGGTATACTGGAGAAAGCTAAGGCTTTTGGAGTTTTTAACTATCTTCCTGTACGCTACCTGCTTTAATACAGGAATGCCTATATATACTACTTCACAATTACCAGGATGGGTAAAATAAAAAAGGATAGTAACAATTGTAGGTAAGAGTGAGGACAAATTGGAAATATTATACATTGCTGATGAATGTGAAACAGAGTGTCCACTTTGGAAAACAATTTGAAGGTTCCTCAAAAAGGTAAAACACAGAGTCACCATATGATAAATACCTCAAGATAAATACCTATAAGACTTCAAAATAGGTCGCACAAAAACTGGCAGGCAATGTTCATTGCAGCATTATTTATAGTAATCAAAAAATGAAAACTCAAATGTCCACCAATGAATGAATGGATAAACAAAATGTATTAGATGCTTACAATGAATGTTATATGGCTAGAAATGAACTACTAATACATAGTACAACAGGGGAACCTTCAAAACATACTAAGTGAAAGAAATCAGATATAAGTAGTGACATATTATACGATTCTATGTAGATGAAATGCCCAGAAGATAAAAAAATATAGAGACACAGAAAGTAGATTTAGTGGTGGGCAGGGGCTAATGCAAGGGAAGGGAATGAGGAATGATTATTATTGGATATAGAATTTCCTTGGGGGATGATGCAATATTCTAGAATTACATAATGATAAGTTTGTACAGTCTTATAGTAAAAAATGATAAATTGTGTATTTTAAAAGGTGAATTTTATGGCATGTGAATATTTACTACGAGCCTACTACAATTACAATCACATCTCTAATTGTTAAAAAGAAAAAGAAAGAAAAAAAAGACAGGCAAGTATGCTACAATGATCCTCAAGTTTTCAAATATACAAAAACCACCTGGGTTGCTTATTAAGATATGAATTCCTGGGACTCCCTGGCATCACCACCAAAGTTCTAACCTAATTCGGGGTGAAACCTAGCAGTCTATATTAACACAGGATGGGACACTGATGCAATTTATTAGCTATGAAGCATGTTTCTTGAAACACAAGTATAATGAAAAGAAATTGTAATTTAGAATCAGAAGAGCTGGGTTCAAATTCTGGTATTACTTCTTCCTAATCATACAATTCTAAGCAAATCACATAACATTTCTGCTATTTTGGTTTCTTCAACTCTAAAATGTAATAAAAAATGTCTCCCTCTACAGAGACAGTACATATAAACTATAATAGAATACATGGCACACAGTTGGCATTCAATAAATGCTAAGTTGAAACCTAATTGGGTGCCAATTCCATTCAACAAACATTATCAAGTGACTATAATATGAAAGGCACAATGCAAGCTGATGGTAATGAGTAGGACCAAATTTTAAAATAATGGATTTTGTAAAATATGAAATAGACTTCTTTTTATAACTTTATTTTATTTATTTTCTTTTGTATGGGGTGCTGAGGATTGAACCCAGTGCCTCACACATAGTAGGCAAGCACTGAACCACTGAGCTACAATCCCTGCCCTGAAATAGACTTTTGAAACCAAGTATCATTGTTTACAAACTATTTTAATTAATATATTACTTTTCATGACCCTGGAAAAATGAATTTGGGAGTATAGCAAAAAACAAACAAATAAACAACAACAACAATAAAAAACACCACAGGTCAGGCATTTGATAATTATAAAGAATTTCTGAAGGTTACTCATAAAATTGATACTTGTGGGGCTGGGGATGTGGCTCAAGCGGTAGTGCGCTCACCTGGCATGCACGGGGCACTGGGTTCGATCCTCAACACCACATAAAAATAAAATAAAGATGTTGTGTCCGCTGAAAACTAAAAAATAAATATTAAAAAAAATTCTCTCTCTCTCTCTCTCTCTCTCTCTTTAAAAAAAATTGATACTTGTACTGTAGTTTTTCCTTTGTATTTTCTCTTTCTAAGTAGAACATAAGCTTAGAATTAGGGACCATGCCTTAAACTTCTTTTACATCCCCTAAATATCTATTCCAGATAAAAAATATTTATCAAGAACACAATGAACAGTGTGGTCTCTTACCTTTAGGTCACGATGGATAATAGGTGTTTTGCATTGATGCAGGCGGGCAACAGCTTCACAGGTATCACAGAATATCTGCAGCACTTCATTCTCTGTAAAGCCTGTTTGCAGGCGCTGGTTCATCAGGTTTACCACCTGGCCTCCTGATAGGGGTACAAAGAAGAGGTTATAATCTTAGTCAAACTGGTCATGTAGACCAGAAGAATGAATGGCTATCCAAAGAGGAGCAACCTGAACTAAAGTTACTGAACTGATCACCAGTCAAGTCAGACTAAATCCCAGGTGTCTACACTCTTAGTTTGGAATTTGTTTTCTTACAATCCAGTGCCTCTTCTAATACATCAAAATAACTTTCTTTATTTCACAAAGTACCTCAGATGTGAGCTGCCCTTATTACGTCTTCAAGATCAGTAAAAGAACTGACAATATTGCCTTGCTATAGTTCCCTGGTTTTACTATGCCCATTGGGTATGAGATAAGGCCACAGCCTCAACTTGCCCTCTTTTAGTAAGAATCAGATGGCACAACAGACTCAGGCAGCAGGAGGAATACAGTGTTAGTTTGCACTTTAGGAAAAGCTTGGTCTCTTTGGTTTCACTACTAAACTGCCTGGCCTGTGCAAATGCTACGCCAACCTTCATCTCTAAGATCAAAAGACTGATGACCTCTCTCACAGAATTATCCAGATCCCTGAATGTTCCTATATTGCTTGGTCTGTAATTGGGCGGAAATAAATTGTCAATTTGGTAGTATTTTACAAAATCATGTTAATAGCTCATATAATGAAGACTGAAATTACTGGTTATCTCATTTTTGAGATGAGCAACATATTTAATTTATATTAAATTATATATTTATTATATATGAGCAACATATTTAACAGGCAGTATTGTTAATGGCAGAAAAATGTTAGTGGAACTAAGGGCAATTACAAAACAGGGCACAATAAGACAATGATCCAAGCTTGTAGGTGCCAGGTGCTTAGCTAAAAAAAGCCAAACCTCTAAACAATAGTTGTATGGAACACAGTCAACTCTGAATACTCATTTATCAGTCTGGATTCTCAAGATAAATGTTGGAAACTTCAAGCTACCAACTATTTAAACTCCACAGTTAACAGCAACATCATGTGAATGTAGCCTTACTAGGAATTAGAGCTCTCGAGTGAGGAGAAAGTTATTTCCATTGGACAGAAAGGATTCTTTTACCCCATTACACAAGGATGGTGGTGTGAGTGGGGGAAAAAACACACAAGTGCGGGGGCAGGGAAGCTGGCTGCTTCTTTATTCCATCTGGAGATGGGCCTTTATTATGTGCCTTCATGACTGGTTTTAAAGCATCACAAAGGACACATTCATTCTCATTCTCATGTGTTCTCATTTATATACATGACCAAACCTTCCCAAACCTAACAAAAATGGGGATCTGTATTATTTATCACTGTCAATTATTTGTACCACTGCTCTTGCAATCATAACCAAGGTTGACAGCAGATTTACATAGCTTTACATCCTTTTAGTTTTCCTATTTGCAAAATTAAAATGACATACTTCAGGGTAGGTACAATGCACATTAAATGAAAGAATCCTTATGAATCCTCATGCTCTTGACAATCAAAATGCTAGAGAAATGAGAGATTAAGGGTATGGTTCATATACATACCTCTACAAAAGTCCATCAGAATGAGAACTTCCCATACATCGCCGCTACTCACATTGTTGATACTAGAATCAATGTAACCCACAATGTTCTTGTGCCCTGACAGGTCCCTCTGTGAACAAGAGTTGAGAAATATATTGTCAGTTACAGACACCAATAGGGACAGAATTAACTAGAAACTTCCATTATTAGCATAGATAACTTCAATACACAGAGACAAAATTAATAGTTTTGAGAGGTAAGAGTAAGAAACTGAGCCAAGAACAGGTTTCCAGGGGTCCTGAGATTCCAATGGCAACTCATGTCCCTAATGAATCAAATCACTCTCCAGAATCTAAATTCTAAAGTCAATGCACACAGAACATCTACTTGCTCACCACACCAGTGCCCTATATAAACCAGAAGCAAGGAACTCCCTCACTCCAGAAATACTGCCTAGGAGGACAGAGACAGTATGAACTATTTACATGTATAAATTTACATGTATAAATTACAGGAAAAAAATGGAGGTTTCTTTACCCTGGTTGTGGAGGCAAAAATGATTTCAACTTGACTTTTAAATGATTCATATTGCTTCTCCCATTTGAAAATATATGAAAAGAATAATTGCTTTACAAAGTTTTGAAGGGACTACAATAGCATCCAGATCTAAGCATTTTGCTCATAATTAAGCCTTTCAAGCTAATCAACTGGGATATAAGATAGGGAATCAGTCAAAACTGCATGTGATCTCTCAGGCTGCTTGGAGAATTCATTCATCCAACAAATATTTACTGAGCATTTCCTATGTGTCAGGAACCATTTAGGCATTACAAGTTGCCTAACACCTGGGTATAGTCATTTTAACATCCACAGAGGCAGATCCTTGAAATTGAAATCCAAGGTCATTAAGATACTCTGTTGGAGAAAGAAATTGAGCAAGTTGTGTAATATGATTCTTAGGCAAATACAAGGTAAAAAAAAATAGTTTTAATAAATTGTTTTACTTTTGTTTTTGAAAACTTAGGGGAAGGAAATGGAAACTATGTGGTTCTATGAAAGCCTCCATACAAACTTGGCAGTTTGGACCATAAGAACAGATATTACTACTACCCTAACAGAGATTTAGCTTCTTTAAAGTCTTATAATCTGAAATTACATACAAAAACAAGAGGAAACCTGACAGTACCAAATGAGTGTGCTTGAACTCTGAGCTCTAAAACTCATCAGACCTTTCCTCTGACTAGACAGACTGAATGGTCAGTGACTCCCCAAAAGGTAGAGAGAGGTAGAAAGTGACCACAGGAAAACTCTGAAGACTTCTGTGAGAATAGGTTCAGAGAAAGGATGGGATATAGGTGAGAATGGACCTGGACTTGCAAAGAATTGGAGTTGAGCAAGTAGCACCTGTGACTACAGGTTATTGTTTTAGAACATTGTGCTTAAGAAAGTAGCAATGATGGGCCTGGGGGTTGTAGTTCAGTGGTAGAGCACTTGTCTGGCACACATGAGGCACAGGGTTCGATCCTCAGCACCATATAAAAATAAGTAAATAAAACAAAGGTATTATGTCCATCTACAACTAGAAATATTAAGGAGGGAGGAAAGAAAAGGAGGGAGGGAGGGAGGGAGGGAGGGAAAGAAGGAAGGAAGGAAGGACAAAGGAAGGAGATTTTAGGATGGGAGGAAAGTGAGTGCTGGAGAGTGAAAGGGGCCAGAAGAGAACTGATGAGGATAATTGATAGAAATAAAGTTCTGTAGGTAAGAGGGTAGGGACTAAGAGTACTATTTTAAAAAAAAAAACTGATCTCAGAGTGATCTTTATTCTTCCCCCTCACAAGCAAAAAGACAGCAAGGATGGATATGCACATTGGGTTAGGGATGAAGGAAAAGGGAATTCAAGTGAGCTCAGATCTGTGGTTTTGTTTTTGACAGGCTGTCTTCAAAATGTGCAGGGTGAAAAAGAAGTCTGATGAGACAAAGGGCTTACAGCATCTGCTTTGGAACATATATAAGGGAGATAATGAGGCTGAAAAGCAGTCTCCAGAATTCAAATTTAAAAAAAAAACAGAATGTGATTTCAGAGGCCTATTCCTCCCTCTGCCTTTCTGCCTCATCAATAACTCTTCTAGAACTTTCTTTTTTTCCATTTATACAGCCTGAGAAGTAGGAAGAACTGGAGAGAAGCTCTTTTTAAACCAAACTAAAGACCATCACATCTTTCAGGTGTCCACAAGAATGAATGAAAGACCAATATCTTCCCATTTAACTGTTTTTAAAAGAAAACAGGCAATACTATCTCTGGGTTCACCTAATCCCAAGAGGATTAAAAAAGCATCTGGAAATATGGGGAAAAAATTTTGGTAAAGCCATGTTATCATTTGAATCTCCAAAACTGACAGTGAAACATGAATCCCCAATGTAACAAAATTAAGAGGAGGGGTTTTTAGGAGGTAAGTAGTCATAAAAGCAGACACCTAATGAATGGGATTAGCAGTTTTATATAAAAAAAAAAAGATGGAGAGAACTGCCTAAACCTTTTTCCTTCAATCATGTGGGACAAAGCATCTCTCCCCTCCAGAAAAAGCAGCATTCAAAGTGCCATCTTGGAAACAGAGGCCCTCACTAGACATGAACCCTGCAGGTGACTTATCTTAGGCTTCTCAGCATCCAGAACTGTGAGAAAATAAATTTCTGTTCTTTTTAAATTGACTATTTTCAGGTACTTTATTATAGCAGCACAAATAGCCTCAGACAAACCAAGAGGAAGTTAAAAAACCATTAGATAATTAGGATAACTAACATCTGCAGATGGTAACCTGCAGTTTTCCCAGATGTTTGCTCATGGTTCAAGCCCAAGCTGCTGTTCATTTTGCCTTCTTCAGAAATCCTAAGATACATCCAAGCAGAAACAGCCTCTCTTTAGAGAGAAACAATGGTATTTACCTTTAACAACTTGATGATGCATCAACATCTCAGATTTTGAAGTAAAATGCCCTGAGTGTAGAACTCTGATGAAGATTTGTTTGAAGGGTTACAAAATATAGAAATTCTTAACACAAATTGGGACTGATTCACATTTAAGGTACACTGGCAGAAGCTTTTGTTAAGAGCAAAAGGTCAGAAGATACCTGAGCATTCCACTGGCTTCAGTTGAAAGACCAGCTCCAGGCTTGCAGAACCAAAATGGATGTGAGGTATGAGACTGCACCATAGGAAGCACTTCAGCCACAACCTGCTTTTTCATGAAAAGGCAGGATGTGGGGAAGATGCTTTGCTGTCCTTGATTACTATTATTATTTGGAGTACTGGAATAAAAGTCTATCTGATGAATATAAATCAAACATAATTTTTAGGGGTTTGAGGAATGTTCAGTTAAACTATAGATTTAAGCAGTGATAAATTTTAAAGAATTTGTGTTCTCATAATAAACTTTAACTATCATTAAATAACATTAATAAAATACTGACAAACTGTTATTAGATTTGCTTTACTAATTCAATATTTTAAGTGGTTTGAAGTTATCTTATTAATCTTCATATTTAATTCTTAAAGTACTGAATAATCTTTTTCATAAATACATGTAAAAGCTTCCATTTAAAAACCAGGCCTTTAACCCAGATTCTATAGATTACCACAAATGTTAAATTTATCCTGGGTCCTAAATAATGATGCTTGTAGCTTAAACAGTATTCTGTCCCTAGCTCTAAAATTCCTGCAACAAATACCTAGTTAAGAATCTGAAGTCCTTATAAGAAAACTGTAGACATCTATGAAAACCTTGATATTAAACAAAGATAGCAACCTAAATAGCATATCAGTAACATGCCACCCTCCATAAAATGTAAAAATGAGTATTGTATATAACTAATTTATATACTCATATATTTGCTCAAGAAATCCCTTCCTTGGAGTTTCAGCCTTGTGTCTACAGAAAATCCTGATGCTAAGAGTGCTTGCATTTGCAGATAGAAAGTTTACAAAGAAGTGTCTTTACCAGCTTTGAAACCTTCCATTCAAATATTCAGAGGTAAACCCAAAAGCTCATGTGTGTGACAATGCAACAATTTTCCAATGTGAAATAATGAGATTATGAGAGGTAAAGCCTAATGTGTGGATTACTTTACTGATATGAATTAACTGGGCAGTACAGTAACTGTAGATAGGTTGGGTGTGGCTGGAAGAAGTAGGTCACTGGGGATGCCTTTTTGGTTTAGATTTTGTCCCTGATGAGCAGAGCACTTGCTCACGCTCCCTCCACCCCTTCCTAATTGCTATGTCCAGAGCTGCTTTCCTCCTACATGCCCTTCCACCATGATGTCCTCCTCACCTCGGGCCCACAGCTATGGAGTCAACTGACTATGGACTAAAACTCTAAAACCATGAGCCAAAATAATCTTTTCCACCTCTACTTTGTTTTTATCAGGTCTTCTGGTCACAGCAATAAAACTGTTGACTAAAACAGATGACTTGGCACTACTGCTGCTACTTCTGGAATCACAGTATGATTCCATAGACCCTATCAATTGAATTTTAGGTTCTTGATTTAAAGATGAAGGAAAATAGTTCTATGGCCTGGAATTAGTTTACTTCTCCCAAGGTTGTTATTAAAAGTCATCTTCTGCTTTACTATTCTCCCTCTTCTTTCCCTCCACAACCCTAAGTTTCCTTTATAACTCTCTTCAAAAGGAGTTATTCAAAGGCAAACAAAAACTATCAATTCCAATGCAGTAGTAAAATAAACAATGAGATCTGAGCTGATTCTGGAATTCTACTGGAGGCTCAGAAGAGCTTCTGCCACATAAAGAATTCCAGATAAAAATTCTTCCCAGCCTGGGGTAAGGCACTAGGTTCCATCCTCAGCACCACATAGAAATAAACAAATAAAATAAAGGCATGCTGTCCATTTACAACTACAATAAATAAATAAATAATTTGTTCTTAATCATTAATTAATCCTGTACTTACTGAAAAGATCTATAAAGTCATCTAGAGTTTGATTCTCAAGCACTACAGCTCAGACTATAACGTTTGGATCTGTCCCCAGAGGCTCATGGGTTGAAAACTTGGTCCCCAGCTGGTGATGCTATTAGGAGATGGTGGAAGCTTTATGGGATGGGGCCTAGTTGGAGG